ATAGCTTTGGGGAATTTCATAGGTGCTCAATAACTGTTATTGACTGTATTAGGCCATTCTCACATTGCTATAAAGAAATACATGAGACTGAGTAATTTATAAGAAAATAGGTTTAATTTGCTCATGGTTCTTCAGGATGCACAGAAAACAGTGGCATCTGCTTCAGGAGAGGCCTCCGGAAGCTTCCAATTATACCAGAAGGCAAAGGGGGAACAGTCCTGTCACATGGTGAAAGCAGGAGCAAGAGCAGTAGCAGGAAAGTGCCAAACATTTTTAAACAACCAATTCTCTCAAGAACTGATTCACTATCACAAGGACAGTACCAAGGGGATGGTACTAAACCACTTTCGAGAAATCCACCACCATAATCTCATCACCTCCCACCAGGTCCCACCTCCAAAATTGGGGATTACATTTCAACAGGAGATGTGGGTGTGAACACAGATTGAAACTATATCATTGTTCCATGGCCTCTCTCAAATCTCATGTCTGTCTTACATTTCAGAATACAAACATGCCTTCCCAATCATCTCCCAAAGTCTCAACTCATTCCAGAATTAACTCAAAAGACCAAAGTTCAAAGTCTCATCTGAAACAAGGTAAGTCCCTTCCACCTATGAGTCAGTAAAACAAAAATAAAATATAAATTAAAAATAATAATAATAATAATAAAAACAAGTTAGTCACTTCCAAGACACAATGACAGTACAAGCATTGGGTAAACACTCTTATTCTAAAAGGGAGAAATAAGCTAAAAGAAAGGAGGTACGGGCCTTATGCAAATTTGAAACTCAGCACAGTAGTCATTAAATCTTAAAGCTTCAAACTAAGTGTTCTCCTATAAGCTTCCTTGGACTACATGTCCCACATCCAAGGTACCCTGATACAAGGGGTGGACTCCTAAGGTTGTGGGCAGTGCCACCTTTCTGGATTTGTGGGATTCTGCCCCAGAGTTGCTCTCACAGGTTGTTATGTGCCTGCAGCTTTTCCACAGTGAAGATACCAACTGCCAGTGGATCTACACGATCTGGAGGATGGTGACCTTCTTCCACAGCTCTACCAGGCAGTTTCCCAATGAGCACTCTGTGTGGGGGATGTGACCTCACATTTTCCCTCTGTACTACCCTAGTAGAAGTTTTCCATGAGGACTCTGTCCCTTCAGCAGGCTTCTGCCTGGACACCTACGTTTTTCTATACATCCTAGGAAATGTATAGGTTCCCTAGGAAATGTATAGGAAATGCAGAGGTTCCCAAGCCTCAAACACTCTTGCACTCTGTGTGCCCACAGAGTAAACACCATATAGAAGTCACCAACACTTATGGCTTGCACCCTCTGGAGCTGTGGCCTAAGCTGTTTCTGGACCACTTTGAGCCACTGCTGGAGCTGAAGCTGACAGGATACAAGGAGCCATGTTCCAAGGTTATGTAGGGCCCTGGGCATGGCCCACAAAACCATTGTCTCCTCCTAGGCCTCAGGGCCTGTGATGGAAGAAGCTGCCTCTTAGATCTCCGAAATACCTTTCAGGCCTTTTTCCCCATTGTCTTGACTATCAGCTCTTGCTTTCTTTTCACTAATGCAAATTTCTATAGCAAGTGGTCACTCAGCAACCTATTTGAATTTCCTCCTGAAAAGGAGATTTTCTTTTCTACTATATGACCAGACTTCAAAATTTCCAAACTTTTACACTTTGCTTCCATTTTAAATATAAGTTCCAGCTTTAAACCATTTATTTGCTCCTGCATATGAGCACAGGCTGTCAGAAGCAGTCATACTACATCTTGAATGCTTTGCTGCTTAGAAATTTCTTCTGCCAGATACCCTAAATCATTACTCTCAAGTTCAAAGTTCCACAGATTCCTAGGGTGGGGGCATAATGCAACCAAGTTCTTCACTTAGGCATAACAAAAGTGACCTCTGCTCTAGTTTCCGGTAAGTTCTTTATTTCCATCTGAGACCTTGGTAGCCTAGACTTCACTGTTTGTATCACTATCATTATTTCTGTCACAATCAACTAACCAACATCTAAGATGTTCTAAAGTTTTCTTCATCTTCCTGTCTTCTGAGCTCTCCAAACTCTTCCAGCCTCTACCTGTTACCCAATTCCAAAGTTGCTTCCACATTTTCAGGTATCTTCATAGTAATATTCCACTACTTAGTACCAATTTTCTGTATTAGACCATTACTAACATTGCTATAAAGAAATACCTGAGACTGAGTGATTTATAAGAAAAGAGGTTCAATTGGTTCACGATTATGCAGACTTTATAGAATACATCGTAGCATCTACTTCTGGAAAAGCCTCAGGAAGCTTCCAATCATGGCAGAAGGTGAAAAGGGAGCAGGCGTGTCTACCACATGGTGAAAGCAGGAGCAAGAGCAAGACTGGGGAGGTGCCAAATACTTTTAAGCAAAATAATCTTCTGATAACTCATTCACTATCACAAGGACAGTACAAAGAGGATGATGCTAAACCATTCATGAGAAATCCACCCCCATGATCCCATCACCTACTACAACGTTGGGAATTACACTTCAACATGAGATTTGGGTGACGACACATATTCAAACTATATCACTGACCTTGAAGCCACTTCATTCCTTTCTGCATGCCACCATGCTATGCATGTAATAGTGAAGACTTAATTCTTCCTCTGAGTCATGAGAACTGCATGGCCAAAATACCAAAAATCATCTTTCACATCTTATATTAAAACAAAAATTCATGTTTCAGGAGGGTCATGTCTTAGAGTCTGGGGAAAGAAATGCTGTAAATTTTACTATGGATGCAATGCTGACCAAAAAAAAAAAAAAAAAAAAAAAAAAAACTGTTGAAAAAGTGAAGCTCATTCACTGTAGCTGATGTGCCCCCAGTTGCTGTGTATTTTGCTTGTAAAACAAATAAATTTTCTCTTCCTTCAAGAATTTATGGTCTGATGGAGAAGGGAAAATTCTGTGTAGTGAGATATCCTCAAGGGGTGTGTTGGCTTACCACCACTGGAATCTGGATAGATGATGACAGAGCGGCAGGGAAGTTGTATTAAGGTTCTGTTTCTGTTAGGAGCCACAGGTTCTCAGGAAGCAAGTATTGGGCAGACTGGTATTGTGGCTGGGCTCTAGCTCTATACCTCTAGACTAAAGGTTACGTACTAGCAACTTGAAAGCTAAACCTGGCCCACAGATATGTTTTATTTGGCTCTTATACTGTTTGAAAAAATATTACCAACACTTAAAACTGGGAAGTTTTACATAAAACCCAGATTTCTGGATTCTGTTGGAGGGGGGGATGAAAAAAACAACCAGAAGATCTGGCAATACTGAGCTAGGATTCCCATAAGACAACAATTGGCTGGATCTATGTAGTTTCTCTCCAACAAGCAAATAATATGTTCTTGTTTAACATAGTCCCCACCACTCCCTAATATTCTCCAATACTGGATCTGAGGGTCATTTGCTATGTATCGCCATATTTGCCATGATGTTTTACACTGTAGAGAAATACATTCTTTTTTGTAGAAAACTATGTTTTAATCAAGATCAGGATAATATAAAGAGATCTTAAAGTGGAAAAAAGATATTTCCTCATCTAGGTGAGAAACAATCATATACATTTAATGCTTTTTAATTTGCATTATCAATCTAGCCCTGAATCACAGGAAAATTCTCACTCTTTCTTGAAGTTTCATAAAGAAACATCAATCTCGTGAAAAGATGACTTTTTCTTTTTTTTCTTTGAGACAGAGTCTTGTCCTGTTGCCCAGGCTGGAGTGCAATGGTGCAATCTCGGCTCACTGCAACCTCCGCCTCCCAGGTTCAAGCAGTTCTCTTGCCTCAACCTCCCAAGTAGCTGGGATTACAGGTATGTGCCACCATGCCTGGCTAGTTTTTTGTTTTTTTGGGTTTTTTTTTTTTTTGTACTTTTAGTAGAGACGGAGTTTCACCATGTTGGCCAGGCTGTTCTCGAACTCTTGACCTCATGATCCACCCTCCTTGGCCTCCCAAAGTGCTCGGATTACAGGCATGAGCCTCTGTGCCCGGCCAGATGACCCTTCTTTAACCACATAATATTGACTGTGGGATAGGCCTTGGCATATAATAAATGAATGAATGAATGAGTTAGAATAGAAAATAATCGAATATCAACCCATTTCTCACATTGCATAAATCATGACGGTTCTGAGGAAGGCTCTCTGATCTTTAGGTTGTAAAAGAAACGTGTATATTTTAAATCTCTGCAGGGATATTGACACCTCTCCACCAGCTGAGAACACCACACAAAATATGATGGATCGTTGTTTCCAAAAGATGCCCATTAGATTCTTTTATAATATCAACCAATAGGGACTTTGAAGGACACGTCCCAGGAATTTATGATTGACCTTGTCCTGTTCATTATTTTTTATTTAATCAAGAGCTAATAAAGACATGGATAATTTGCTTAACATATTTTTAGATGACAGTATTTGGGGAAAGAATGCCTCCAAGCTAGATTGCAGGTTCAGTTTCCAAGACCAGAATGTTAACCACACCACTGATGTAGTTTGTAGGTTCAGTCCACACCATAAATGGAGATTTAAAAAAATAAAATACAGGAAATGAGAGACATGACTCAAGAAGAGAACGCTTAAAAAATATGTGGGAAAAAGCCCAAAAGAAATGAATGGTGTCATATGGCCTTCAAGAAAACCTAAATAATGTTAAGGTATTAATAGACATATAGAATTTAAGGCTGGGCATGGTGGTTTATGCCTATAATCCCAGCATTTTGGGAGGCCCAGGTGGGATGATCATTTGAGCCCAGTAGTTCGAGAACAGCCTGGGCAATATAGTGAGAACTTGTGTCTGCAACAAATTAAATAAGTAACTGTGATGGTTAGTATTGAGTGTCAATTTGATTGGATTGAAGGATGCAAAGTCTTGTTCCTGGGTGTGTCTGTGTGGGTGTTGCCAAAGGAGATTATCATTTGAGTCAGTGGACTGGGAGAGGCAGACACACCCTCAATCTGGGTGGGCGTCATCTAATCAGCTGCCAGTGTGTCTAGAATGAAGCAGGCAGAAGTTGGAAAGAGCAGACCTGCTAAGTCTTCCAGCCCTTGTCTTTCTCCTGTGCTGGATTCTTCCTGCCCTCAAACATCAGACTCTATATTCTTCAGCTTTTGGACTCATGGACTGACACCAGTGGTTTGCCAGGGCCTCTTGCACCTTTGGTTACAGACTGAAGGCTGCACTGTCGGCTTCTCTACTTTTGAGGTTTTGGGACTCAGACTGATCCACCACTGGCTTCCTTGCTCCTCAACTGGCAGACGTCTTCTCATGGGACTTGACTTTATGATCGTGTGAGTCAAATTTCCTTAATAAACTCCCTTTCATATATACATATATTGTTTTAGTTCTGTCCCTCTAGAAAACCCTGACTAATACATTAGCCAAGCATGGTGGCATGTGACTGTTGTCCCAGTTGCTCAGGAGGTTGAGGCAGGAAGATCGCTTAAGCCTGGGTGGTAGAGGCTGCAGTGAACTGAGACCAACCACTGCCCTCCAGCCTGGGTGACAGAGAAAGAAAAGGAAGGAAGGAGGGAGGGAGTCGGCGGGGGGTGGGGCAGGGGGAAGGGTGGCGGAGAGAGAGAGAGAGACAGAAAGAAAGAAAGAAAGAAAGAAAGAAAGAAAGAAAGAAAGAAAGAAAGAAAGAAAGAAAGAAAGAAAGAAAGAAAGAAAGAAAGAAAGAAAGAAAGAAAGAAAGAAAGAGAAAGAAAGAAAGAAAGCCCTTCTACATTGTGTACGTGTCAAACCTTTTCCAGTTGATATTTTCATTTCTTAGTATTGCAAATGTTGGTGTGCAGCTAAATGTGTATGGTGGTCGTGGTGGGGTGTGTGTGTGTGTGTGTGTGTGTGAAAAAGGCAATACAGGAATGGCAGAAGCAGAAATATTGAGTCAAAATCATGTCATAGGAAAAACATTACATAAACTGGGATTTATTAGCTTGCACAAATGATATGAAAACCATGCATAAGTTTAATTCAAAAGGATGATTAGGTTTAGAGTAATTAGATCTATTTCCTCTGTAGTTCTGAGAAGTAAAAGTAATATTAAAGAACAAAAGTTTAACATAAGAATTTTTTTTTTCAAGATGGAATCATCCCCTCACCTAAAATAAATAAACAGATAAAATAAACTGTCAAAGGGGAATTATTTGTTGTTACTGCCCTTTTCTTGCTCAATTGAGGCTTGGAGAAGTATCAGACTATATGATATTTAAGATCCCTCCCATCACTGGGAACTTGTTATTTGATGAAAATAAAAAATGAAAGAAAATGGCTGGTCCTCAACCTTTTAAATCCAGACACTTGATGGTTGTTACTACTTTACATCAGATCGACCTTACTTTCATGGAAAATTGTCATTTTTTGGCCACTCAGCATCCAAACGAACTTTCTCTTTCTGAGATATTTACTCTCATTACCTCCTGACAGACTTGGCCAATAAGATGTTCCTGCCTAAGACTTTGAATCTCGAATAGGGAACACAGAGAACAAGAGCAACGAAGAATTATTCATAGCACAGCAGTGCTGACAGCATCGACAGTCTTGCGGTGCCAGCAGGAATCCAAGAGAAGTGTCCTACATAAATACTCTTAATCATTGACCATTTTATGAGGCTGGTTCAGCCTCGTAAAAATTTTGTATGCTTCTTCATACAATTTTTAATTGTGCTGCAAAAGTTAACCAGAGACAATTTCTGTTGCTTGCAGGCAGTAAGTTGACTAAGCAAAAAAATTCAGGAGAGATTATTTTATAGAAGTCAATGCAAAGGCATTAATTTATAAGAAGTAAAACTGCAAGTTCACTTTGCTGCCTTATAACCAGCATATTCTCTTACAAGAGAAGTCTCTGTGGCAGTTTGTGTTATGATCAGAAGATCTGGAAAAGATGGAATCTATGAGAGAGTTTTTTAAGACACAGTTACAATTGATCACAGGACCAAACACTAAAACTCTGATATATATATTTATTTTTATTAGCAAAGCTTTTATGCTATGGAGGAAAAAGAAAAAGAAATAAGAAATTCTGAGTTTCTCTAAACTTCTAGTATGTGGATGAGCTAAAAACTATGTCCTCTTGGATTCCTCATTTTAAATATTTCATAACAATGCATTATAATTGGTACATGTTAATATCGATTTTTTTCCTTTGCTGTTTCTGAAGTGGTATGAAGCACCCGTAACAAGATCTCCTTTTCATCCATTTAATTATTATTGTCCTATAATATACTTTTCAATACAGCAACTACTTTTTATGTTTTGGGAATACTTTTGCTATTGTTAGATAAATTCCTGTGGTTGATTGTTTGCCTCTAGAAGAAATTCAAAAGAATATAAAGCTTGCTAACAATAAATCATTACGGTCAGTGTTTTTTCAGTGTAGTTATTTATCTGAACTGCTCATGATGTGAACTTCTTTTAAAATTTGAAGAATTGCCCTCTCTGTCAAATACAATATTATTGTATTTTCACTGATTACATTAAGAATTAGGCAAGATTAAACATTTATTTTTGTGCCATCCTTATTTCTTAAGAACTTAACTGCTGTTGAATAAATAGTATGTGTGTTGGTTATTAAACGTATTCTAAATTCATGTAATAAGAATGTACATGTAGCATAGTGGGAAAAATGCAGGTTTTAGAATCATATACCACAGATTTATATGTTTCAGTTGTGCTGCTAATGTATTCTTTGACCTTATGTCAGTCAGCAAACACAACCGAAATCAAGTGGTAACTCTGTGTTCCTCCTTTGTGTAATAAGTATTTTTACATGTTTGAGATCAAATGATATTGTGTGTTAAAATTATTTATAAGCTAAAATATTTTATAAATAATAGCTGTACTTATTAAAAATTAGAGATTAATAAGTTGTTACATAAAACATACATAAGCGATCCAATGTTAGGAAAATATATTTAGCTTTCTCAAAATTTTATTTCATAAAGCAAAGTTTCCTATATTAACTATCCAGCTACCTGTTGTGTTTTTCATGATCATCACAAATGGATTCAGAGTGGCTACCATATAAGAACACTCATAAATTCTAGGAATGCCAGAAGTTCCTGTCCTCAACCATCTAATTGTATTCTTAAGATAACTTCACATATTATGAAGATAAATAACTAACGACGCAGCATAACCCATGGCAAATAGCAATCTGTCATGCAGTTAATGAGCATAATGTGGACAGAAGAGAAAATCACTGTTGCTTCTGTCCCTTGGAGCGGGTGAACTTCAGCTGAAACTTGAGGGAATAGTGTCCATTCTGTTTAGGGAGCATTGCTAAGAAGAGGGTGTTGCCAGCTATTTGTGTTTTTAAAGTCACTGCATGCATCTGTGGTAATTTGTTATGGCAACAATAGGAAACTCATACAAATTTTGACGTCTGAGAATTATATACTGCTGTAACAAGAATCTATAAAATGTCAAAGTGGCTTTGGAATTTGGCAGTGAGTGAGGCTAAGAGAATGTTGAAGGTCATCCTAGAAAAACTCACATTGTTTTGAACACATTGTTAGTAGAAATGTGGTGGTTAATGATTCTGCTAGAAAGGACTCAGAAGAAAGTGAAGAGAAGAGCACAGTAGAGAAGGCATAGACAGCATTAGAGCACACATGACTCATCATGAACAGACTTAGTAAAAATAGGGACATAAAAAGTGCCATTGGTGAAGGTTTAGAAGGAAATAAAAAACACATATTAAAAACTTGAGGAAAGAATCTCCATATTATATAGTGGTAGAAACTTAGCAAAGTTGTCCTACATTCAGGTGAAAAATAGAACTTGTAAATGATGAAACTGAATATGTAAGTAAGGATATTTCCAAGCAAAGGGTTGAAGAAGAAGCCTGGCTTCTTGTTTCTTCTCATAGTAAAATGTAATGAGAAAGAGATAAATTGAGAGAAGAGCAGTTTAAAGAAAAAGAAACCAAGACATAATGATTTTGGAAATTCTCAGTTTATTCAGATTGCAAAAGATATTAAAAATAGTACATTCAGTAACAGGGATAGATAATCTAAAGAAAAAGCCTAGGACATGGCTGTAATAACCTTCTGTTTTTATACCTCAGCAATTTGCTAATACCTCAAAAAGATCAAAAGTACTCAATATAAAAGGTTCTTTGAAGAGATTAGATTTCCTCAATCAAACCAAAGAGCATCTAGGAAGCTTAAGGTTACTGTCCCTCACATATCTCAGCAGAAGGCAAAAATAGAAGACTGATTATCTAAGAAAGATCTCTGAAAGAGTTTCATTTTATGGAGTGAACCCCTGTGGCATACATGGGAGACCCACTTGGTTCTTGAGAATTTTATATCAGGAGAAACACTGTCAGTCTGTACTGAAAGGAATAGGGAAAATATGAAATGAAAGAAGACTATTAAACCCCCAAACTTCTGGCAGGAAAGAAGCTTCCACAACCACTACTCAGTTGCAAAGATCTGCCACTTTTCATACACGTGAAAGGACTCAGAGGAGGAAACCACAGGTTTAGAAGGAAAAGCTGAAAGCAACATCATATTAGCCTTGGATCTAGGAACCTAATGGAGTTTCTCTAGCAGAATCTAGAAATGGCTTGGGACAAATGATTGTTTTTTTTACCTGCAACTTTCTCCCTCTTGAAAAGAGGAATGTCTGTAACTATTATCCTATGCCTGTCCTACCATCATATTTCAGAAACAGATAACTTATTTTTTCATTTTCAAAGATCGACAATAAAGAGAAATTGTACCTCAGAATGGATTATACCCAGAGCTTTACTCATGCATAAATTCAATAATTCAGGTTATGTGATTTGAGGCTTTTGAGTGGGTGAGGTGACATTTTGGATGTTGAGTTGGTGCTGTAGTAAGTCCGCAATTCTGGGGAACTTGGTTTAGGTTAATGAATTTTGCAGGTGAGATAGACTTAAATCTTAAGAGTCTAGAAAGTGGAATGTGCTACCCAGCGTAATAATCCCCAATGATGTCCATGTCCTAGTTCCCAGAACCTATACATAGGTTGACGTATATGGCAGGTATGATTAAGATTAAATAATTTGATATAAGTAGATTATTGTCAAGGTGGTCCCAATCTCATCACAGGAGTCCTAATAAAGAGAAAACCTTTCCTGTTGTCAGTGAACCAGAAAGATCGCAGTGTGGGAAGAACTCTATTCACTGTTGGTTGCTTTAAAGATGAAAGGGGCCACAAGCCAGGAAATGTGGTTCGTTTCTAGCAGCTGGAAAAGGCAGGAAAGAGATTTTCCCCTAGATCTTCTGAAGAAATGCAGTCAGACTCATATCTGGATTTTAGCT